CGTCTGACAGGTCCGACGCCGAGCCGGTCATCATCAGCAGCAGACCTCCTACACACACACACACACACACACACACACACACACACACACACACACACACACACACACACACACACACACACACCTCTTCAAGTGTAAGTGACACTAAATTATATATTTTTTAAATCTAAACTGTGACCTTCGTACTTTAAAGGACAAAGTAAGTTGTCGTACCGAGAGTCGTCACCAGCTCCATCACGTCTTCAGGTCCGTTTCCCTTCAGCGTCTCCAGAGACTCCATCACCTCCAGGCTGTTGCCCACACATCGACCAATCGGACTGTCCATATGACTGAGCACTGCGGAGGTACGGATGCCCAGACCGTTTCCTACGTTCACCTGAAACAATAATTTATAACATGAAATAAAAGATCAAGACTTTATTTATATATACTTTACAACAGGTGCTTGTTCAATTTTCGATAAGGACCGAACAGAAAACACGGAAGAGGCACAACACTCCAGTAGAGATAACAGTTTTCTTTAGGTACGTGTGTGGAGTGAATTTAAATCGGAAGCAAATCAATCAACAAGTCTTCTTCCTTCAAACCCTGGTTTTGGTTTTACTTACCAGAGACTGAGCCAGTTGTTTAGCACTGTCCAGATCTTTATACAGAGCAGCTTTTCCAAACTTCACGTCCAGCACCAGAGCCGTCAGAGACTCAGCACCTTTCTTAGAAATAATAGAACCTGAAAAACACAACGGCCGCAGGTTTCAGTTCTTGTTTACTGATCAGAGCTGGTTTGAATCGTGTGTCATGGTGTCAGGTTTCTGTCCAGAACCTGTGATGAGAGGTAAACTGTCCACGGTGCTGGTGGCGTCCCGCAGGGCATAAAGGACTCGATCTGCAGGGACCAGCGTCTTCGTCTGACCCACAATGCAACAGCCCACAGAGCCCAGGATCTTCTGAATCTGTACTCATATCGAATAATGTCAGTTGATCTGTCGTGTTCATCGTGAAGCAGTTTGTAAATGGATGTTTTGTTGTTTACCTGCTCAGCTGATTGGTGGATGTTGAATCCTGGAATCGACTCCAGTTTGTCCAGGGTACCTCCTGTATGAGCTAAGCCCCGCCCACTGATCATAGGTACCTGAGGTTAGAAAAACGTGTTCCGACAAATAAATCAGCAAAACAACAAATGAAAACCAAACTGATGAGGAACATGAACACTTTATAACCAAAGTGTTTTTAAAGAGTAATTGACTAAGACACACCCACCTTGCAGCCACAGGCGGCGAGCGCTGGCGCTAACACAAGGCTGATTTTATCTCCCACGCCACCTGTCGAGTGTTTGTCAACCACGAGCCCCGCCCACTCCTTTGGCCATGACATCACTTCACCCGATAACATCATCTCTCTAGTGAGGGTCTCGGTCTCCGTGACGACCATCCCCTTCTGCCAGATCGCCATCAGCATCGCACCTGAACAGACGAAGAGACATGAGAGCCCGAAGAAGCAGCTGATGACGTCCTGTCAGTCTGAATGAGTTGAGCTGTTCGTACCTATCTGACATTCCTGGATGGTTTGGTTCGTGACGGCGTTGATGAAAGTTCTGATCTCCTCGTCGCTCAGCGCTTCTCCGTCTCCCTTCTTCTTGATCAGATCTGGTATCGACAGCATGTTGACCTGAAAACAAAAAAGAATCTCCTGTGTCTACGACCAGAGACAAAGATGGACGACAGGAAAGATCCCGAGAAGGAAGTGGAGATGTTTCGTCCATCTTTATTCGCGGTCTGCAGTGAAGAACCACTGCGTCATGACAGCTCTGCTGCTCAGATCGTGGTTAATCTTCACGTGAACATGTTTTAAATATCGGTCGGCTCCTCCATCATCTGTCACTGATTCACAGCCTGAAACTCTGAACACGTCAAACGCAGAATATTCATGAATCAAACTCAGTGACAGGGAAGACGCTGCTGTTTGTTGGTTCAGCTTCAGAGTGAAAACTCCACAGGAGCAGGTCGCACAGTGACTCAATGAAAAACCAGATCGTCTCCTTGAAGCTTCTCCACTCAGGAGGCTCCTTTTCTCCGCAAAACCCAAAAACATACCATTCATTCAAAGTTGAAGATTATAAGTCGTCCCTGGTCTCTACCTGGTCTGGTGTTTGCAGCCTGTCATGTGCCGTTGACCGAGGAGTCACCACGAAGCAGCCAGAGGTCGAGCTCACCGGCCAATGGGAGCGCAGGGAGGAGCATGTAAGCAACCAGAAGAGCCAATCATGGCCCAGCTCTTGTTTGCTCACAGACATAAAAAAGTAGTTTTGCTCTTACACACGTCTTATCTGAAAGATAAAGCCACACATTTAGATCTGGTTCCAGAGTCCTGACTGGAGGGAACAGACAGAAAATGTTTTTTACTCCTTTCACTTTATTACTTCAAACCTGGTGATCAACACATGAAGCCTGGTTGAGCCAGTGGCTGAAGCCGGCCCACGCAGTGTGATCACCTCACGCACTGTTATTAAAGGGCACATGTCATGTTGTTGAGCGTTTATTTGTGTCTCTGGATTCCAAAGCAGAATATCAATCCGAGGGAGCGGAGGTGGAACAGGTTTGTACACAAGTACAAACACTGATCGTAGTATAATTGACATTAAAGTGTTTATGTGCTTTAATCACCGATCGCTTTTGGTGCCAATATTTCTCCTTAGCCTTTGTCCAGAAAGAGAAAATGTTTTCTGTGAATTGAACACTGGGGGGCAGAGTGTGAATATGAAACGATATCAGAAAATATGCAAAACATCCATAAAGTTTTACCATCTTCATTAGACAGGCAGGAGTCAGCATGAAGTCAGCAGATGTATATTTGACTGGGCACGTCTGCACACACACGGCCGACAGCCTGACCTCCACTGAACATGTGATCTTTATTATTATTAAAGAAAATAACTAAAGTGGTGTGATGGAGATTTATCTGGAGATGTGAAATAAAGAGTTCAGAGTGGAAACCACCTCGAATAGTGAAAGGAGAAGGTTTTTATACAGTTGGGTAAACAGGAAACATAAGAGACAACCGTTTCTGAGTAATGGCATGAAAACTGAAGCCACTTGTAGTCTGGTTGAAACAGGAAGCTGTCTGCTCTTGCTTAAGCGTGAAAGAGGAAGTTTGCTAGCTACTCAGATCAGGGTCAGAGGGATCATCATCAAGTAAGGACATGAACTCTGAGGTTACATCTGCCAAGTGCATAGCAACACTATAAAAGATGTCCGTCTAGTTTCGAATCGTCCGTCTGCATGTACACCAGTTCCTCTTACACGAGCACAACTGTTTCTAAATGAGTTCATGTTGAACGCAGCACACGAGCATTGATCGGACGTAGGAAAGAGTTCAAGTTAGGTGATATGCTAATTTTCTATTACAGCATCAGTTTTGAGCCTCACACTTCTTTCAGTGTTTGTTGTGTTTATTGTGAATATTGACACAAATCTTTTAAACACATGAGCTCAATATAAAGTAAAACTAGATTCCATGACTTGAAACTAGATTTTTATTAAACCTGGTGCAGTTTAATTTTCTCATGTGAGTGAACCTGAAGGTCTGCAGATCTGAAGTCAGTTATTCACAGGGTGTGAATGAGTTACGACCTCATCAGTGGAGCTCAGTCATTAACTCGACTTTAAGCTTTATGATGCAAACAAAGTCAAAGGTTAAAACCTGTTGTATCAGTTCTCTTATCAGACTCTTACCTCGAAAGAACCACACATGAAGTCTGAACTTTAACTTTGTAATAAATGACGGTTTATTATAAAGATTACAGTCTGTTGCGTTGCAGAGCTCATCAGTTGTCATCATGTGCTCATTTAGTTTTTAGAAAAGGAAAAAAAAAAAATACTACTCACGCCACTCACTCCAAAAGAAACTACAAACATACATTAAAAAGAGGAAGCCAGAAAGGGAGTGGGGGGTGGGGGGTAACCTTAGTCCCATAAAACCATTAGAACCAGGTGAAAATCAGGAGGAGGAAGTTTTCACACACAAGTTAGAAAGCCAGGATTCTCGGCCAACCAGGAAGTTGAGGAAGTATTAAGACTGGGGAAAAAACAGATTTTCAAAATTCTATTTAATTGATCTTTGATTTATGCTTTTTCTCAGTAAATGTTTAGTGGTTACTTGATGTGAGAAGAATCAATCAACAGATCTGCATGTTATTACGACCGAGCAACATTTCAGTCCACCAGAGATCTTCCTCAGGCATCTAGTGGATCTCTCAGTCGAAGGGATTTGACCAAAACCATTGTCGAGATCAGACGAATCGATTGTTTGGAGTTGATTAAGAACATTGTCGGGGGTGGAGCAGCTCCCTCCAGGACACAACATCCTTCAGATTTGGTTTTAGTTGATGCCTGACGAACATCTGTTGGATCAAAAAGTTGCTCTGGCCGACAAATCACACGAGAGGTGAATGACCTCGTGTCAGCTTCGTTAGCACACAGAGGAATTTTCAGCAGAGACCTGAGGTCAGAGGTCACATGTCATCACTGAACTACGTCCAAACTACTTTCATTGTTGCAGAGGAGGCGACGGCTCGTTCCGCGAATGACTCTGTACAGTAAAGTGAGTCCATTGAGATTTATACTACACACACATACAGAATATATCTATCTGTCAGACGTGATATTCACTCAGTGTAAACAGCTACACAACAGGCACTTTCTTCTTCTGTGAAACCAGGAATGTTTGCTCTGTTTGTTGAAAAGACGTTTGTGGTGTAAACAGCTGGTTTTCATTTGGATGGTCAAGCGTAGAAAGCGACTCCATTTAAATCGATCATGTTTACTGGGCAGTGCAGGTTCATCTTGAATGGCGTCAGTCAACAAGGACACACTAAATTCAGAATTTTGAGTTAGCATATTATACGTAGATCTCTTCATTATACTGTTTGGTTTAATGGTGTCCATTTTAAATGAAGGTGCGATGAAGGTGGATATGTTGAACTTCATGTGGAGTTTGTCTTTTAGCTCTGGTTTGAGTCTCCACCTCCTCCTGAGGGAATTATCTGTCTCTTTAACGTCTGTCTGAAGATTAATGCTGATTAAGTTGACCGATGTTTTCATTTTAAAAATATTGATCATAGTTACTTTTGACGTACGTCATGTTTCCTCCAATCTCATCAACGCTCGGACGGATTTTGTTAACCTTGAATTTGTTGCCATCACTAGTGAACATTACATGTCTGTTATTTTACAAACAATCATTGATCCGTCAGAAAGTTTAGGGGAGATAACTAATGTATAATGAGAAGCGACAACCGGATTGAAAGATGTTCCCCATTCATTCAGATCTAAATGTCTCACCAAGCAAAATCAAATCTCCTCCTGGTTTTCTTCAGCTTTTTCAACAGAACGTCTCACACATAAAAATATCTGGTCTGAGCTCTGGGAAAAGATTTACAAATATAAAACCTTCATCGTTTCAAAAGTCAGCATGCAAAAAGTTAGAACTGATCTTGATTAGATCTGAGGAGTCCTCAAAAGTTTTACAGATGTTTCATTTATAATTGTGGTGTTGTTGTGTTACTGCAGTCGGCCACAGAGGCGAACAAGTAGCTGGCTGCTTGGCCGTGTGGTGTTGTTTACATCGTGTTTACGATACAGGGACGTTGTAGCCATGTTGGTCATTTTTGTGCCGGAGTCAATTGTTTGCGTAAAGTTAGCATCAGGCTAACAGCTGATATGTAGGTGTTTACAAAGTCTGAATACCACAAACGGATAAAGACTTCATAGACCAAAATATTACTGTATAAATGTTATTTTCTACTATACTTTATATAT